AACTCTATTTACCTATGTTACTGCTGCTGTGTGTTGAATAGAAATATATAATTTAGGTTACATTTTTATAATTTGAATATCAATCATATAACTGTTTTTTTTTTTTTTTTATGGGTGCAAAGGGGAAACTAGTGAGCATGTCTATATCCAGCTCAACACTTTATTATTTTCTCAACCTGGAAATAACCAAACCCCACAGACAATAACATAGCCCTCCGACTTAAGGCTGTCGGCAGCAAACTTGCGTCACTTAAATGTCTTTACCCAAACAAGCATGCAGACACACACACACACACATACGCACACACTGTCTTTTTCAGTCAAAGGGGTCACATTTTGTTTGATCCCTTGTGAGGTTTATCTCCGAAGCTCAAATGTCAACACTTGTTGTTGACAGAGTCAGTTTCCTCCAATGATTCAGTGACTGCCCACATCCTCAGACATGGAGACGAGCAGGTAACAGCACAACAGGTGACCTGGGGCACAATGGAAAGTTAGAGTGATAGGCGATAAACTAAAGTTATGCCCTCAAATGTGTTTTGTTCTTTTATTTTGACCATCTGTTTAAATGAAAGAAACACTTCAAAATCACAAATTGTATTTCACAACGTTGATTAATACAGAGCCAGTTAATACAAAGCCAGCACAAACAGTATGGGGCTTTAGTGCAGCAAAATAAAGTGATCACGGAGAACATTTTTAACTTTTGAATCACTTCATTCTAAATCTTAGTGCAAAATAATTGGGTAACATGCAAAGACATAAAACAGAGAAGATGATGAACATGGAGAGGATGGTTGAAGACCAAAGCAACAACAAAAGTGTACATAGCTTAAAGGCGTGGTTGGTCATTTTCGAAAACCAGCATGATTTTTAAAGTAGCATTCCCTCAGTGCTCCTTCTGCACCCACCCACCCCCTCCCCTCTGTGCTCCCTCACTTACATGCACAAGCGCCATTGGTACAGAAGCGGACCTCAGCTCATGCTTTGAGGGCGTGGTCACACTGGCCATCCGTATCGTGCCCAAGCACGCTTCAATCCTAAAGTTCAGTTCTTTAGCACACTTCGGAGAGGTGTGCTTTAGCGCGGTACACTTCATGCAAGAGCACGCAGGTACACAATGCTGTCATCCTTCATTATGGAGAAATCCAGAGTTTCATGGCTGTATCTGACTAAAATGACTCAATATAAGCCACAAAGTAGCTGTATGTTCTCTGTGTTATTCTCCGATGTGCGGCCGCGAACTCGGCCGCAAACTCAGCCCGCATCTATTTTTTTTTTATGACTGTGTCTGATAAAAATGGCTTAAATTAAGCCGCAAAATCACTAGTCACCACATATACTTTAAAATTTAGAATTATTAGGAATGGACAAGCCAAATGTTTTCCTCAGCAGTCGGAGGAGAACAAAACAGAGCTAAAAGATGGGACAACATTGGGTGTCCATTCATTTTGTTTCCAGATAAATTACTTTAAATAAATCATTCTTAGTGCGGGATGTATTTCTCAACACATTTGTGTAGTACTAATGATATTTGTATCTGATTCTTACAGTTAAAACTAGACAGCAACATAACTTTTTTTCTTTAATCTTTTTGAAAGTTTGTTTACAATAGTCACACCATGTTTGTGTCACACCTCCACCTTCTTTGTTTTGTTGTGGAAGTTGTCGCTCTGTACGCTGGGTGCTGCACTATTGTTGGACCAGAAGACTGTTTACATTTTGCTTTCAATACAGAAAACAGAGGTGTCTGTGTAAATGTGTGTGTGTGTGTGTGTGTGTGTGTGTGTGTGTGTGTGTGTGTGTGTGTGTGTGTGTGTGTGTGTGTGTGTGTGTGTGTGTGTGTGTGTGTGTGTGTGTGTGTGTGTGCATGCCTGTGTGTCCGGTGGGTGGGAGTGGATAGGTGATTTCCTGGTTGTGAATAGCAAGTGTGCGATGATTATGATTTAATGATGTTGTGTGTGTTACAATTTCAAGGCTATTGTTATTTGATTACAACAGATGACATGCATGCAGACATACACTCATTCATGAACACGAATATGCACCCACACAAACACACACACACACACACACGGTCACACTTGCATGCAAAAAAATCCACTTGTCTCCATCGGGTTCCCACATGGTCATATACACACAGCTAACTTGACTCACACACACACACACACACACACACACACACACACACACACACACACACACACACACACACACACACACACACACACACACAGAAGGAGAGAGAGAGAAAAATAATGCATATAAGTTCCTCATTTATTAAAATAGTTTTCACCTTTTAATCAAACTACCAACAATGTTGTTTATGAAAGTATCGGAAGTGTGTGTGTTTTGATGTGTGTATGAGTGTCAATCAGATAAATCCAAACCTGGAAGTGAAACGTGGCAAAAGGATTAGTCCAAAGTTTGAGTCATGTTGTCGGCATGAGTCGCCTCTTCTGATGTGACTTTTACCACCTGAAACTGTAAACTGTTTCCATGTCAGTAAAGTTTAACTTTAGTGACTCTCATTCCTGTCTCTCTCTCCTCTCTTCTCTGTGCTTTTTAATTCAGTTAGAATCATTTTATTTTGGTACGTTTCTTTGTCATTTTGTCTTTAAACCTGTTGACCTGTCTTATTTTCCCTCTGTGTCCAATGTGGCTTTTCATCACAGCTCCCACAATGCCCCCCTCCCTCTCTTATAGAGGTTAATCATTCCAGCAGCACTATCTTGCCAGAGATGGTCTTATCAGTCTCTGTGTCATTTTATAACCTAACCTGCAACCCCCTCCCCTCTTCTGCCCCTACTTGTCCTCTCCCCCTGACTCCGCCCCCCTGCCTGCAAGCAACCAAGCTTAAACCAATCAGAGCCCAGCATTAAGAGAGTCCAGCTGATTGGTGGAAACTCTTGCTCCATGCCAACACTGTGGCTGATGTGCTGCTCACAAAATGATGATACTGTAAAATGAATCTATATCTGTTTGTACAAAATGCATCAAATGTATCTGTCTGAAAGTTACAGACATATATATATTCCATCACACTTATTTGACTCTTTTAATGAAGAAAACAAAGATTTGTGATGTATGCATGAAGGAAAATATTGCATAATGAAAGGGGATACTTACAGGAAGGACACATTTAAGGAACAGTTTTGAAAACTGTAGGGCTCCAGGGTAATTTTTTTGTGGGGGGTTGATGATGGGAAAACTATGCAAAAGTAGTTATTTTCACAGAGGACCTGGTTAGTGCAGGTGAGTCTGTTGTGTGTGCCTATACTGCCTTTCATATGAACAAGCTGCTGATGACGTCACTGCACCACAAAATTAAGTGACGATGTCTTGTTGTAAGTGTTTCCTCTGTAATAAAAACTTTTAAAATGCATTTTTTTTGTATTAAAATATCTTAAATAAAAACTATATTGCATACAAGGATATTTTCAGAGGAGTGTTTGTATGACTATGACATTTACAATCTCATAAGTGGCATACTTTCACTGAGTTTCCAAAGCTCCTTCATGTACTGGGTACAAGTTAAGTCTATGTGTAATAAATCCAACTGTGCTGTTAAAATATTTTGGTTTTACTTTTTTTTTCGAGTAATAGTCCTGCTTAACAATGAAGGGTCAGAGGAGGATTTGATGGGTCATATCAGGTGAGAAGCCCGCACATTGCAAACTCTTAGAAAGTAATAAAATAAACACATTTAGTTAATTTTTTTTATTTTTATGTACTAGTAAATTAAAGAAACACAAAAACAGAGGATGCACAACAGTGTGATGAATTAGATTCTTTTTTTTTAAGGACACTTTTTTTTGTATTATTCCAGGCGTGCATCTCAGTGTTATGCCCCCCTACAAATTCATTATTTATCATTTTTATGTACATTTTTAAATTTAAACTATGTGATTCTCTGCTGGTTGTGAATGGCTCGTTTTTTAAACTACTGTTGCACGCATGTTTGTGTGTGTGACGCGCGCCCCCTGCGACCCTTCAAGTGTGTTTCGCGGTCTTGGCCGGTGACTCTTTTGTCTCACTGACCCACAGCGACAATATGATAAACTATGTGTCCAAACATGTGTATAGGTGTGTGTGAGTGTGTGTTGTAGCGCGTGATATAGATCTATATGGGGACTACACGCATAATTATGCTTTCACTTTGTGTGTAAAATAGCCCAAGTCTGACGTCAGATCTCTAATTGATCCCTGCTCAGCCAATTACTGATAATATTTCAGAAGCAAAGGTATAATTTATTGCGTAAGGGGCTGAGTTGGTCCGAAAATAAAGGCCAATTCGAAGCCTCAGGCCGGAGCTGCTCACGTTTCCATTAAATTGAACAAACGAAACCGAAAGACACTGATGCAACAGTGGCCTTTGACTTTCTTCATTTACATGGCTCGAATGTACGATGTCTCTTCAGGTGTATTATAAAAATATGAAAGAAAGAAAGAAATCTTACATTGTATTTGATCACATCTTGACTTTTTCATGCTCAAGGGAATTGTTGCTAGATCACGAGTGATGAAATCACAGCTTAAATTGATAATTCTGGACATTAAAATAATGCATTTAAATGTATGTAGAAGAGTTTCTTCTAAAAAAAAAAAAAAAAAAAAAATGTAATAGAAGTGTGTGTTTGCGCATGAGTGTATGTCTATGTGCTGCAACACGCTCCAATCTACATACCTCGCGTGCTGCCTTTGCGCACAGTGCGCTCGTGGAGAGTCTGCTCTCACACCCAGTTGCATCACCTCGCTTGATTTCCTTGTTCTCGCTCCGCTTATAAAAAAAAAAATCCATCATTAACGGGATTAAACAGCTGAGATTTTGGAGATAGGGAAGTGTAGAGTTTGAGGCAATATTTGCCGGTCTCTTCACCTGATTGGACCGGGGAGAGATGATGTCAGACGACCGCATGCGCCCCGGATTGGAGAGAGCGGAGTAAACAAAGCCGCGAGGAGAAGGAGGAGGAGAGGTCTCCACATCTCCACACAGTCCGACCGACACATCGAATCTGACTTTACGCATAGGAGAGGGCGGCCCCGTCGGCACGTACTCGTCTGCTTAAGGCTGAAAGTAACACTGACAGTCCACCTTTAATGGGTCACGCGTTCAAAAAGACTGTTGGAAAAGCTAAAGGGAAATTTACCACTGTCTTTTAATCCAGACGCTGTACAATCTTCTCGTTAAAGTGAAGAGCGATTGTCTAACTCTGCGCGTAACTCTGCGAAAAGTTTGGAAGGAACCATTCGTCCGTTTTCTGCGCGATTAATCCGGTCCGTTAGCTATTGAATTTATGCGAAATTCAGTGAAGTTAACTCAAAAAGACACACACCGGCTATGCTACCCGTTCGTTTGGAGACAGCCTTAACCAGGCTGCATATTCAGAGCTTGGTCCGGTAATTGGAAATCAAACAGAGAGAAGGACAGAATAAATAAGCAATTAAGACCTAAACACACTGTCGGGACGTTTAGAGTTGTGCTTGTGGGAACGTCTGCCTGTCCCGCTCAGGTGTCCCACCGAGCGGTGCGGAGTCTCCAGCTCAGGCCGGCAGCGCTGACATGCTGCCCAAAGCCGAGACTGAATCCCTGGGACTCTCTCGATCGTATGGAGAACAAGGGCACATGCCAAGGAACATGCAAGGTAAGAGCTGTAGCTAATTTCCATCACTTACAACCTAAAACAGATTCATGGTGGGGGGGTCCACTCAGTAGTTGTACGGAGCGTTACAGGATTCAATACGACCTCTCTGTGCGCACCTGAATGTCACCAAAACTTTTGAGCTCACTTGCATACAAAGTCTTTTTTGAAGACACTGCAGGCCAGTGACTGCTGAGTGTTTGTGGGCTTTTATTGGATGATCGGCACGTTCAATTAAAAGACATGTGAAGGTCATCATAGATTTATGCAATCATGATTAGAGAATGTGTTTCTATTATAGTCATTTATTCTCTAGGCCTACATGAAATAAATATATGAAAGTATGGTGTTGGTAAAGCACTTTCCTTACTCCGGTGATCAAACAATAATTGTCCAGCTGTCACTCGCGGGAGCTTGTGGAGCCTTGTGCGTTAAGATTAAGGAGATCTGTGCAATCATTTATGTCTAAGATTGGTTAGAAATATGTCTCTATAAAGAGCAATCGAGTCAAAAAAAAAAAAAAAAACTTCAGATCATGATTTAGGAAATTTCATCTGATTGACATCGAGTCATTAAACTTTTGTCAAAGAAGCAATATAATTCCGCTTGGAATTTTTAATTATTGTTTTACAAAAAAAAATCCTCATTATGTAGCTAAATAATCCAAACATAATATGGTATGCTTATCAGATTGCTGTTGATAATTTATTAAAATCTTAGCTCAGAACAGGAATGCACATTAAAAGTAAAGCTCCAGTACTTTTTGGAAAGGGTACGAAGTACTGTTTGTAATGCTCATCCAGGTTAACTTATTTTATTACAGTTTCATTTTATATAAACGCTTGTTCTGTTGTTTTAATGCACGTATAATGTTAAATAATTAGAGAAAAACAGATTTTTATATATTTTTTTTAAATTTTGTGACAATGAAGAGTTTAAAAAATGTTTAGTTTGAAATTAGGGGAAAAATAATTGGGCATACTTGCGGCAAACATTCAAATATTTGTCTCTTGGTGTGTTTCATGAAAGTGCTCCTGAAACGCCGTCTATTTAAAGATGGACTGACTCGTCTGCCCTCATTCCCCTGCTGGCATTTCCCAACGATATACACGGACAATCAATTAGCCCGCTCGTGGTTTATGAGCCGCTGATAACATACTATACTCACAAGACAAGGAGTGGCTGCTTAGAGAGCTCCTACTTTTTTACGCAGGGATAAAAAAAAAAGGTAGCTCAACCTCAAAGGTGATTTTTTTTTTTTTTTTAATCATCAGCGTTCCTCACACATTTTGTTTTCTTTTTTTTTCTTTTTTGGGAGATGGCATGAGCCAGCAGTTGACCTGTGTGTGTCTGCACCTTGTAAAGCAATGTAACCTGCACACTCTGAATGCACATAGCTCCGTTTTGCAGGAGGGTTCTATTCAACCATTTCTTTTCATCTAAAAAAAATAAATACATTAAAATACGTATAGTACAGAGTCTTGTGACGAAATGGTTTCTTAATATGTCAGTTCCACCCGTGGTTAACAAAATGATACAAAGAACAACAGGATAGAGATTGTACAATGTTAAAGGAGTAATCAGGGTCATTTCATGAAAAAATTATGTAGCCTATGTTCTTTCGCTAGGACTATTTCCGAAAAGGAAGCTGCTACTTTCACTATTTACCAAGGCCTCATTCACTGACGTGATCATGTCGATTTCAATTGTTTAAATTTGTTTAAATTTGTGAAAATCTGGGTCTGACGTGCGTCATGAGAACAGGCCGTACAAATCCAATCATTAAATCACATTCAAGCAGAAAACATTGCACTAGGGGGGAAAAAAAAGGCAGCTCGGTGGAACTTGTTGCTTCAGCTGGAATACGCAGCGCGGCTCCCAGCAGGGCGACGCGTTAACAAACCAGAAATCATGTCTAATTAAACGGTCTGATGTGTGAGCAGATGAGTGGCTTCAGAAGTAGGGCAGCAACTTGTGTGTGAGGGCCTTCTGATGGCAAGATATTTCCACTTTTACAGCCACATGCACTGAGATTTTCCTGTTTGATCTTGGTTGTTCTTTTATGATTAGTACCATAAATGCTCTTGTAACTGTTGTAAATGTCAGCCTGACTGTTTGCTTTGCGCTGTCACACACACTCGTATCAAGACAAGTATGTCCAATGCACAGGGCGAAGGGGTGCAAACAACAGAGGGCAATAATATTTGAGCTGTTTTAAGTTAAGGGAATTGGAAAAAAAAACATGACAATCTTGCGAAAATCCACGTTTGTTAAGAAAGGCTATATTTCCATGCAGTAATTGATTTTAAATGTTTTTTACCGGAATCTGCTTTACAAACATAATTTCAAAATAGGCATATCATCGAGTTCTAAAATGGACTATTTGTTCCAGCGTATGCAGAAAATCACTTAAAATGTTGCGTTTACATAGTAACACACAAATAAAATAAAACAAATAAACTGGTCTGCAGCTTACATGTTTTTGCATGCTTTTTTTTATTTTTTTTCGCCTGCAGAGATAAGGGCTTCTCTCTGTGTCTTCATTTGTCTGTGGGCGGTAACATTTTCTCCTCCAATCCTTAACTCTAATATCTCTTCATTTCCCCCAGCGAATTCATGACTTATGCATGCATATTTATGAGGCCCACTTTCATGCGCTTTCTTCCCTTATTTTAAATACATTTTGTCTCCTGTCTGCAGCGAATGTAGAAGAGAAGACGGCAACAAGGAGAAATAAATGGTCGCGTCCTTTCAACTCAGTCCAAAATCGACTTTGAATCGTCTCCACCTCCTCAAACTAAACCTCAGTCAAAGTCAGTCATAACTTAGTACAAAATCTCACTCAGTTACGTCGCGCGAGGGGTTCCGCGTGGTTCACATTCATGGATGAAAGCGGGCTTTTGGAAAAAGAGATTTCTAAGCGCTGAAAAAAAAAGACTCCTCTCTGTGTCCCATCTGCAGCTCCCCATTTCAAAATGATGGACTACTCATATGACGAAGACTTGGACGAGATGTGTCCCGTGTGCGGAGACAAGGTTTCAGGCTATCACTACGGACTGCTGACCTGCGAGAGCTGCAAAAGCGGCTTTTGGAAAAAGAGATTTCTAAGCGCTGAAAAAAAAAGACTCCTCTCTGTGTCCCATCTGCAGCTCCCCATTTCAAAATGATGGACTACTCATATGACGAAGACTTGGACGAGATGTGTCCCGTGTGCGGAGACAAGGTTTCAGGCTATCACTACGGACTGCTGACCTGCGAGAGCTGCAAGGTAAGCGTCCTGGAAAATAGGAGTGTCTGTTTTGTGCCCATTATGATTGCCCCATCTGTGTTGTTATCTGAACATTTCATCTTGTGGCGATGAGGTCCTAATTATTAGTAGTTGCCTAATTAGTGCTTTTATTTTGAAGTTCCTACAGGGCATCCAAGGCGGTCATATCAGATGTGAAGGCTAAATATTTATTGTTTTGTCATCACCTGTGTGTATACAGTGTATTTATAAGCAAAGCAGGACTAAGTTAATATGCCCACTTTTTTAAATAAATTTAAAAATATTTCTGTAAATATTGCAGAAACAGCCACATTTTCATGATGCAATTTACACTACATACAATCAACAATAGTACGGCTCAAGTGTTTCTCTACATCATCTTTAATTTAATGCATCAGCCTCTCTTCCTCTATAGAGATGCATTTTTTGTAGCTCCGTTTTTGCAGGCTGTGTATTTAGCCGGCATTCTTGTCCAGACTGATGTGCAACATGTGGAACGACACTGTAAAGATTTATTTTCCTTGTCATCAAAGTTTCAGGCAAATCGGAGGTGAAGAGGCCGAGGGTCAAATATTGTTGTGACAGTTGATCTAACAAAGTTTTCCTGTGAGTGTCAGAGGGATCTAAAGTGGAAAGCGTGCAAATTGTTTTTGTGATTTTTTGCCAGCACCAAACACATGAGGTGTGGAAGCAAAGTGCATAATAATAGTGTCTGTGTGTGCACACGCCTGAATCCTCTTCTTTGGAAGTCATCACATGTTCATAAAGAGAACGGCAGCATTGTGTTTCAGCCATGTTAATAATGAGGACACGGCAAAGCAAACAGTTTCTGCCATTAGTGTGAGCTCTATCATCAACCTGTTTGTTCCTTTGTGCGTCTTTCCACTGCTCTCACTGCTGAGTTAATAGGCAGAACTGGAAGTTTTTTTTTGTTCGCCCAGTAAAGCTGTCAGCACAAAATTAAGCTAAGACAAATGTCTTTTGTGTTAACACTATTCTTTTTTTGTTCGCCCAGTAAAGCTGTCAGCACAAAATTAAGCTAAGACAAATGTCTTTTGTGTTAACACTATTCAGTGTAAAAATTGCAGCT